TGGTATTAGGGAGTTATCTACCAAAAGGCTGGAAGACCTAAATTGGTCTTTCAGCCAAATTTACTAATTCTAAGTAAAAATTATTCAGTATTAGTAAATTGTGCCCTTACTCGCTATACCGCGAGTAGGGCATGTCTATTAAACAGTGAGCAGCCAGGGCTCCGCGCAGACTGAGCTCTGCAGGGCGGGGGAAGGCTTATAAAGCATTGCCCCGCCCTGCAGTTAGGCTCAGAGCACTCTGATTGGTGGGTTTAAGCCATCCAATCAGAGTGCTCTGACAGGTTAATGAAGAGACTGACAGGTAAGTATCTACATTTACCTGTCACAGCACTCTGATTGGTTGGTTTGAAATCCACCAATCAGAGTGCTCTGTGTCATTTTACACACTGTGGGAAAATTCCAAAGAACTAATTCCCCCCCAATTAGTATTTAGGGCCCCCACCCACCGCTCAGGGGTGGGGGCCAGGGTGGAGGGAATTAGGTCCCCCCCTTATTCTGATTTAGAGCCCCCATCCGCCGCTCAGGGGTGGGTGACGGGGGAGGAGGACAATAGGTCCACCCCCATTACTTTACTTTAGGGCCCCTACTCGCCGCTCATGGGTGGGGAGCCGGTGGGGACAATAGGTTCCCCCCCCTTATTTTACTTTAGGACCCCCACCCACCGTTCAGGGGTGGGGGCCGGGTGGGGGCAATAGGTCCCACCTTCAGGTCCCCCCTTCACTGGTTTTTACAGTGAGCAGCCACAGACTGCTCACTGTTTACTAGACATGCCCCTACTCACGGTATAGCGAGTAGCGGCATAATTTACTAATACTAAGTTATCTTTACTTAGTATTAGTAAATTTGGCTGAAAGACCAATTTAGGTCTTTCAGCCTTTTACTAGATAGCTCCCCAATACCGTGGGAATTAGGGAGTTATCTACTTATTGATTCCTGTCATTACATGACTGGCCAAGTAACTTACATTTTATATGAATGTGTGTTACTTGATTGTTGTAAGTGTTGCAAATGCTTACAGCTGAATCCTGGCTGTGTTAAAATTGTATACAGTGTAACATTCTTCTTCTTCCACTGGATAAGTATATTAGTACTTAGGCAATACTGTGCTTCGGCACTTCTGCAACTTCGGAACTTTGGCACTTCAGCACTTCGGAAAGTCGGTAATTTCGGAACTTCGGGACCTCGGTAATTCGGCACTTCGGCTATACGGACATAAGTACCTGAATGTCTGAATTGCCTGAAATTCGTCCGAATTCATATTCGGCCCGAAACTAATTGCACATGCCTAATTTCTGTTTTTACTTGTATAATACACCACAAGAGCCTCTGCAAGCAAATAAGATCCTTAAGTGGGGTTTGTACCACTCCGCGCTGTTTTTGAAGAGCCAGTGGGAGGCTCTATACACTGTGAGTGTATTTCTCTATTTTAATTTCACTTTAGTACTAAAAACATACTGTAACAGACTTGGTTTTATCTCTGCTTATTTATCTCTACATATCCCTCGCAGCACTTACTACTGGATTAAAAGAACACACAGGATATCCTTAGGTAGGGCTTGTACCACCCATGTGCTTGAAAGTAGAGCTTATTTATGCTCTATACATTGTAAGTGCATTTCTTTCTTTCTTATATTACATTGCAACAAGAATACTACACTATATTTGGTCATACTATTCCTCTTGTTTTACATATTTATCTTAGTCTGAGAATTCCCTAAGGGCGCACCCTTCCTCCATCTTGCATCACCTTTTTCATGCTCTCCTTCCTTTGTAAACTGATTTTATTATTCATTGTTTTAATATTTTGACAGGGTGCAATGTATGAACATGCGTTTGTCATATGCATTATCATGTAGGCTCCATGAAGACCAACGAGTATTTTGTTCTTGCCTGTTTCAGCAACAAAAATGATATGCACTAATTTACAAAGGTTAGTGAAGTGTTGATTACTAAAGGGTTCAGGGGTCAGAGCAGGAGCTCAAAAGGAAATCACAGAAACTGCAACATCGTTTGGAGTTCACTAGATGGCGTAGTGGGTTTCACTGCCTCAAAAAAGCCCTTTAACTGGTGTAAACTCTATTTATTTATTCATTATAAAATATTTTACCAGGATGGATACATTGGGATTTTTCTTGTTTTCAAGTATGTCCTGGGTCCACAAAACATTGCATTGTTACAATATTACAAAAAATACTACATATATATAAATCTAACCATGGTGCATTCTGTGCTGAGGTATATTGCTATAGATCTCTTAAATTATTTTATATTGAATGAAGATTTCACTGTGTCCCTGAGGTTGTTCCATAATTGCGGTGCTCTGTAGGAAAAGGATGATTGAGCCACTTTATTTTTGTATATCGGTATGCTAAATATCGTGCTAGTACTGGATCGGAGCTTATAGGAGGTGGGAACAGCTGGGGAGAGCATTCTACTCAGGTAGGGTGGGAGATTCCCAGAAAAGCTCTTATGCACAAGGCTGGAAAGATGAAGGGTGCGTCGGGATTCCAGCAACAGCCATTTTAGCTCTTTTAACATGCCACAGTGGTGGGTAAAGTAATTACATTCTAGTACAAAGCGGCAGAACAAATGATATAACATATTAAGTTTATTAAGGTGGGTTTGCAGTGCGGGTGCATACACTAAATCGCCATAATCAATGACCGGCATTAGCACGTGTTGCCTACTGAAGGGCTTAGGCAGGGCTGCCATCAGAAATTTTGGGGCCCCTGACACAGCTCAAGGTCTGGGCCCCCCGGTGCCTGCACCCGAGTCCGTCCGTCCGTCCCCCTCCTGAGTCCGCCCACAGGGATGCAGTGTCTGCAG